TCCCCAGTCACAGTTTGGTAATTGACAGAAAGGAGAGGCACAGGTTAGTATGAGCCTCCAGACATGATCTTTAATTGATGTTTCTGTCCCAGCCTCCCCACCCTGAGCCCCAGATGACATATATACAGGAAGCTTTATGGAGCCAGTTCCAGGCCCAGGTCAATGCAGCCTCCAATCGTTCCTGGGCGCTGCCAGGGTCGAAAGGAGGATACAGACAGCTGGGAGCCACGTGGACTGGTCACAGGAAATCTTAAGTTCTCCACACCCCCACCCCCACATATGCACACACAGACATGTCCATGTGTGCAGAGGTATTCACTCTTGTGCGGAGATGTGGATCCAAATGCTTGTGCCAGCTGCATCGGCCACCTGTGCGCACGTGTGCACCACCAGAGGGCGCTTTAAGGTATCGCAGCAGTAGTGCAAAACCCAACCCTTGCCCTTATGCCCATGCCCCAGCTTGGGGGTGCTGATGGAGCAGGACTGGCCAGAGGGGTACTCCACACATCCCCCTTGCTTGGGCAGTGCCAGCTGAAGCTCAGTATTAAGGACCCCACTGTAGCCACATCCAGCTACCCAAAAAGGTGTCAATGGGTTTCAGTCCCCAGTTTGCCCTGAGGGGTGGTGCAGATAAATAGGGAGCCATCTCCTCCATGATTCCTCTTCAAAGATGTCCCAGAAGCAGAAGGACTGAAATAGGCAGCTCAAAGGCCCTGGGGTGTTCAGAAATCCCTGCTGAGTCTGGGTGGGTATCCCTGGGGAGAGGGGCTCCATTCATTTGTGGCTTTCATCCATAGGTAGCTTGACCCCCATCTTGCCCCTGCCATCTAGTCTTCAACAGTCAAGGAGCCAGAGCTCCTCTTTCCCAAGAGGGGGTCATGAGGGAAGGCCATGGGCAGGACTTTCTTTGTGGGAGGACTGAGGAATTCTGCCTGGCCTCCACCTGTCTCTCAGGCCCCACTGCAGTCGGGATCAGAGGACATAAGGGGGAAAACAACTGTAAACTTACTACTTGGCCCTGGAATGGGGGTAAGGAGTGGAATGGGTTTGACAGGGCCTTGAGGAATTTTCTAGAAGCTGAGGATCATACACGAGACCTGCCTTTTCCTACCTCCTCATGCACATCACACGCAGAGCCCCTAACCCTCCAGGCACTGGGCTACCTCTGGCCTTCCCTATTTGGGAGAGTCCTCCCAGGAAAAGATGGCCCAACCTGGGACCTCTAGGCCACACCAGGGGCACCTAATCCCTGAGTCAGCCCCAGAATCACCCTTCTTGAAAGGGGGAAGGTGCCATTTTATTTCAGGGACTGTATTTTCTAGACCCTAAATACATGCATCCTAGCAAGGACAGCAAGATGGTCATTTTAGAATTGAAGACAATCTGGGACATGTGGTCACTGTACCCATAATGTAGGCTTGGGCACGGAGCAGGCAGCTTTGGTTTGAATGAGCACTCAGACTTCTCTCCAAGCTCAGCAGGGCCGAGAGAAGGGGGCAAGCAAGGATGCCCAGCCCCTGCCTGGCTTGGGGACATCCATGTTCAGTGAGAAGATTCCAGGTGTGGTCATCCCGGGGGATGGCCATGCCTCAGTTCCTCCAGTCCCTCCCACAAATGTCAAAACATCCCCACAACTGTCCTGGCTCCAGCACCCCCAGAGTTACATTCATCAGTTAAAATTCAGTTTAAAAAAAAAAAAGTAGATTCAGCCCCTCTCCTTAAGTCCTAGAGAGCTAAAACCCTGTCCCAGCTGCCTGGTTTGAGGAAGGGCCACCCTAGGCCATGCCCACTGGGGCATCTCTTTAGCCCTCCCCCACCACATGAGCTGTGGCAATCTGTGATGATGGAAGCTACATTCACACAGGGAGAGTTGGTGTGCAAGGCCAAAGCCCCATGAGGTGGGGTTGGGGACCATGAGGGAAATGCCCCTGGCCTGGTCCTCCCTGGTAGTGTGAAGGGCAGGGCCACAGACCCCCACCCAAACCCCCATGGGGCCAGGAGTTGAAAGGCTTGGGCCTGGAAGACATTGCGTGGTGCCTCCCTCCATGGCTGGGCAGGGGCAGCCTCCTGGTTCAGGGCTGAGATGTGGGTGCCAGGCTCGGAGGGAGGGGGTGGCACTTAGGCCCCTCCGGACCTGGAAGGGAGAGGGGGCATCAGGGAAGCATATGAGGCAGGGCCCAGAGGGAGACACCCCCATCCCCAAGATGGGCCCTAGGAGGTCAGTGCCGGGCCCTGGAGACAGCAAGTCAAAGGCTGGCCAGGGATCTGGTGGGAGGTGAGACAGCCACAGTGACATGAAAGACAAAACAGATGGGATGCAGAGGTAGGTTCCCTTCCAGGGGATGGGGGCTGTGGAGAGGGGGGCACAGCTCCAGGGTCTATCTGGCCAAGAGTGGTCTGGCTACAGGAAGAGCAGGAGCAAATGGACCAAGGCCTGAGGGGATGGTTGGGCAAGAGGTGGCAAGGGCAGGCTCAGGACTTTCCTCTGGGAGCTGTAGTGACAGCATTGACAGTGGGGTGGGGGAATCAGCCCTTAGCTCTCATCAACGGAATGCAAGATGACAAATGAGATGGAGACCGACAGCGAGCTGAGGGGTGACGTGGCCGCCATCACACTGCCCCCTGCTGGGTCGGGTCATACCTTCCTCGCCGGATGTTTCTTCAGGAGCCAAAGAGAGGACAGGCAGAGAGAGAAAGAAAAAGAAGCCATCTGCAACCTTTTCCTCCTCTTAGGGCCCTTTAGTTCCCATAAGACCCCTTGCCCCAGAGATGGGTCAGGGGCCTAGGGCTTGGACACTAATACAGGCCCAGGGAGAGATACCTGGGTTTGAGTCTTGACTCCACAACTCACTCACTACATGACCCTGGGCCTCAGCTCCCTCCTTAGCACACTGAGGGTGTTAGACCAGCTCCAGAGCCCTAGACTCAGATGCCCACAGAACACCGTAGGCTGCGTGAGACCTAGAGAGGGAGGTCACAGGCCCTTTCTTGGGCAGTGGTGCTCAGCAACTCTCTGTGACTGGATCACACTGACGCACAGTGGTGCCCATTTGTCTCATTTTTCAAGAGAAGCTGGAAATCAGCATGGTTAATGTAAAATCTCTGAGTTTTTAAAATATGACCACCTAATTTTTTAAAATGTTAAAACAAGACCCTATGGCTGGCTTAGACTGTGATGTGTGAGCTCCGATTTAGCTAACCTCTCAGAGAGGGCCCCTCAGATCCAACAGACTACGGTTTGATAATCCCTAGGACACCAGGGGTGTAGGTAGCGTGTGTCTCTTACTTAAATCCCCAGCCTGTGCCTCCCAGGACGATGGCTGCAACCAGGACAGCCCCAGCAATGGAGCCAATGATGATGTTGGTGCCGCTGGGACCTGGGGAGGAGGGCAGAGCTCAGCTGGCAGGGACAGGCATGGTAAGCAGAAAAGACAGAGCCCCACCTTGGCCAGTGCCAGCCTCACCCTTATATTTCTCTGTCTCCCCAGTGGGTGGAGATGTAGGCAGGGGGTTGTGGATGCTGCAGTCTTTGCCTGTCCAGTCTGGCTGACAGATGCACTTCCCTTCGTTGCTGCAGACCTAGAAGTGGGGTGCGGCCAGTCAAGGTAAGCAGGGCCCTATCCCCTCTTATAAACCTCTCCTGCCATCCCTGGTCTCCAGGCACCCACCCCGTGGTGGGAGCAGATGCGGCGCTCCCCATTGCTTGGGCAGGTGCTGAAGTTGAAGGCAGAGGCTGGAAGGCAGCGATGATCCAGGCACAGCATGTTGGGCCCACAGGCTGTGCCATCCTCCACGTAGCTCAGGTCTGAGCCATCGGCCAGCTGCACATGGCCACCCCTGGGGAAACAGCATAGCCAACCTCTGGCCATGCCCCCTACCCCGTCACAGCTGCAACCTCCCTTTCCCCAGCCATGGTCCCAGCCAACACCTGCAGTCCAGCTCCTTGCCCTGGTGGTAGAAGGTGACACTGCTGATGTCTCCTCCTAGGTCCCCCAGCCGAGGAGCTCCAGAGATATTGACGCAGAGGAGGAAGCCACAGAGCACGTCCCTGTTGGGGTACCGTGGAGACAGTGAGTCCTAAGTCTGAGCTCTGACGTAACTACTAAACTTGAATTTGCCTTCTCCCCACACCCTGATTTTTTACGTATTCTCCCATTGGAACTCACAGGCACATCTAGAAGAACCTACTATTCCATCTCTGAAAAAAAAAAAAACAACACCCAAAAAATCCAGGCCCCAGAGCTGGGGAGGCTCAACCAGGAGCCTTGGCCACTCACTGTTTATTGCACTGGACCCAGCCTGACCCCTTGCGCCCACAGTTCCCACGCTCTGTCCCCTCCACATTCAGCTTCTCATAGCAGAAGCGATCAGCAGCAGCTGTAAGAAGAAGATGTGAGGTGTCACCCCAGTCACCCCGGAACCCACCCCAGGACCTCAGGCCTATATCCCAACATTCTGGTTGACCCCCAGTCCAGCTGGGTCCCTGAGAGCCTGGTAAGCCACACATTTGGTGGAGGGCATATTTAGCCGGAACCTGCCTCCTCATCAGACTCTGGATTCTGGGTCCTCCAGAGTCCCTTCTCCTATTCCTAGCCAGACTCACCGTGGCCCCAAAGGGCTTGGCACTGCCGGTCCCGGGTTTTGCAGCGACCTCCATAGCAGCGGCCCTAAGGGATAAACAAGAGACAAAAGGGACTGACACATGTACTGACCTGGAACGTCCAAGGGGAGGGGAGCCCCCACGCCATCATACCTGTTCATGATCACAGTAGTAACCGTCCAGCTTGTGTAGGTTAGGGGGACACTGCAGAGAGAGGGGCTGGACTGAGCAGAGCAGACACAGGACTGAGAGATGAGGCTGGCCCCAGGGAGGCAGGAAGGGGTGACCTAATGGCCCCGAAGTGGGGGCTCACGTTTAGGGTTCTTCCATGTCAAGAACAAAGACCTGGATTGGAACTCAGACTCCGCAGGTTGGCAAGTCCCATAGCCTCTCCAGTGTCCCTGTTTCCTGCACCCACTAAACAGGGCTGGGAGAACTAAATGCCTGGCACGTAAGAAAGATTAAGAGATATTAACTAATATTATCGTCCACTCCATTCCCTAGCGCACACCGGGACCGCTCCAGGTGCTGGGAACACCAGTCAGACTACACATGTCGGTTTATAATTGAAAGAGCAAAGCCAGGGGGCATGAACGACCCTTCTCTCAGATGTGGAAACAGGCTAATGAGCGGCGGCCACGCCAGCGGCGCCGCGGAGGGGCAGCGCCGTCACCCGGCACGGCCAGAGCCACAGGGTTAGGGCGCGGCCGGCCCAGACGGACCTGGCTAGAGTCGCCCGTGCAGGTCTCCGCGATGTCGCACTCGTTCACGGCCTCTCGACAGGACACACCCCGCGGTTCGTACTGCGGAAAGGACGCGTTTCAGGGCTCAGGAAGGAACCGCGTATTACCCGCCGCCTCACTGCCCCACGGCCC